GTTTTTCACGTTTTTCTGTTTTTACAAGTTTTCTGCTGTACAGTTGACGTCAAAAATCTTTAAAGGTGATATTCTTGATCAGCTCGACGTGCTCTATCCAACCATGTATAATTCGACCAGATTCATTGTATCACTAACCTTTTGAATTTTCGGCACCTTAACTCCAATAGGATACTACACTATTCGAGGAGAAAATAGAAAAATTGTTAAATTTAAGTATATCAGCTATACATAAAATAACGAATGCTTGGATTGGTTTATAAATAATCACAGAGCGCGGACAGTATTCGATCAATTTCGTATTTCTAGTACGGACTGTCGATGTAACCGATGACGGCAAACGACGAAGCCGTTCCGTTCTAGTAAGGCACTTTTAGAATGGTTGGTCAAAAAAAGGTTTTAATTAGTGTCATTTTGACCTTTTTTTCGAAGAAAATTAGTCTTTCACTAAGAAAAAATGGCAAATTTAAGATGCACCTAGCGCAGAGGAGTAGTGGATTTTTTTTCTTTTATAATCACATATTCGGATAGCTGAGATGCGGAGAATCACAAATATGTGTTCCGTGAATTTTTTGGAGAATTTTTTCGGGTCGAAAGATGCGAAAATTCAAAAAAACATTAAATTGATCGAATAAGATAAAAAAAGTACATTATTCGAACCGATTTTTTGAAACTTTGATTTTTTTCGAACTTTTCAAGCGAGATTTTTGCGCAAATTTCTGTGAAACAAAAATAGAAAAGTTTTGTTTTGTCGTATATAATTGCTCTTTCAGGGCTCATATTTTTTGTGGAAACAGAGTTGACCACTGTCTCTCTAAAAGCCAATTAATAATCTGAATTTTGTTTATTGTTGTTTCTGACGTAAGCATGTCACGTACGCAACCAAGACAGAAGAACCGTACAGTACAACTGTGAGCGCTTGTAAGCAGAGGCGCCCCGATACATCCGACGCAGGGGGGAAGTCAATTTCCCAGTCAATTTTTATGCTTTTAAAAAACTGGAGTAAAACTAAAAAAAAAGATAAATATTCTAAGCAATCTTCTTCTAAAGCAAGACTGAATTTCCTTCTGTCTAACTCTGTTTACTTCAACACAAAGCCTTATAATATAAAAACATCTTATAAACACCTTATAATATCGAAATACCTTTACTGAAGACATGATACTATCTGTTGTATTTATCTTATCTTATCTTATTTTATTTATGTACACGACAGAATTTTTTTATTGTCTATTAAACACAAAAAGAGAAAACATAAATGCTTTACTCCAAAAATAGAAGTAAATATCTTACTTTTGAAAAGAGGTATATTCCTAACTACGAAAATGAGAGTAAGCCGTTTATACTCTAAAAATGAGAGTAATTGTCTTACTCTGAAAATACGAGTTAACACTTTACTCTGTGAGATATTCTCGTAAGTCAAAGACCTAATTTTTGGAATCATTTTTTTCAAAAAGCAGGGGAGATGCCTCCCCGGCCCTCCCTTACCGGGATGCCCCTGCTTATAAGCTTTGAACAAAAACTTGTGAAGCACTGGTTACGAGCTTAGCTTATGCGGTGCACCGTAGTACAGATAGATGTATCTGATAAACGTTTATATTTAGTTCGTGAACAGGTGAATTTTCAGAAATTCTCGATGTGCACTACATCAATATGTATTTTTAATAAGGTCTCACATATCAAAAAGAACGTTCCAGAAGAGGTCAAATCCATTGACAACTGGCTTCTCGTCATCTCGCTTCAGATTGCTTTCTATACATCAAGAATGTAAGCGAGCATGGCAGCCCCGTAGATGTTATTTTCAGGTGTAGAGCGATAACCGTCGTCAGTTCACTGTGAGGACGAAGGCGAGATATATTGATTTTGACCTTAAACACAATTTTGGTTTTAATTCACGTATCTGGACCCTACCCTTTCGGTGTAGAGAAATTTGACGCATATATAGGTTGGGAGTTTCCACACATTCTTTATTTGTATAAAGCTGTTCAATCTAATTTTTATGTGAACTAAACATTAGTTCAGATCAGCATGGACAGATTTGGGTTGTGCCAGAACATGACAAAATATGTCGTTTTAAATGTCCTTTTTAACGTTTTTCCATGTCAACACAACATTCTTTTACTCTGATAAAATCCATTGAGTTGCTATTTTCTTGACTTGTTGAAAAGAAGAAGAAAATGTAGAAATGCCATAGTCATTAAAAATTTTCATTCCTATGGCATCGTTAATAAACGGTTTTTTTGGATCAATACGTGAGAAACGGCAGAAAAACAAAAATGATCAAATGTACTTTTATGTCACGTCGTTTACATTTTAAAAATTATCGATGTGGAAAAGACTTATATTATTTCATTACTATCAACAGCACTCGTTTGTAAGCATCGTTCCCCGACTTATTTGGATCTACTTTTGACTTCAGATAGATCGCTCAAGCAATGTGGTGCTTCACTCTCGTTTCGCTGGTCATTATTGGAGTTATGCTGAACAGTGCCTCTTACGTCAGGAGCGCGGCCGTTAACATCACTACTATTCCGAAACCAATGCCGACTACTACTGTCAAGACAACGTCCACTACTGCTTTGAAAACAACAGTCAGCTCTTTGTCATCATCCCCTAGCTTGGCGTCGATACCAGGTTCAACAACACTAACTTCATCCACCAGGGCTGCCGCATCGACAACACTAACTTCATCCACCAAGGCTGCCGCATCGACAACACTAACTTCATCCACCAAGGCTGCCGCATCGACAACACTAACTTCATCCACCAAGGCTGCCGCATCGACAACACTAACTTCATCCACCAGGGCTGCCGCATCGACAACAATAACTTCATTCAGCACCGCTAGTCGCGCCGCATCAATCTCAACGGTCGTTGGCTGCTATGCTGATTTCTATCCCAATCCACGAGCAATGTCCGATGCTTCAACTACTTCAGCTTCTAACACTCCTTCAACATGTGCTACATACTGTACCTCTCTGCGCTTTCCATACTCCGGAACTGAGTATGCTGATGAATGTTACTGCTCAACAACAGCACCCACAACCGTATCAACTGCCTGTACAATGGCTTGTGCAGGTGATTCAAGCAAAATTTGCGGAGGACCAAACGCTATTTCTGTCATCTATACCACCATTCCAATTCTGCCAGCTACAAACAGTACGAAACGTGGTCTATGTTGGCCATGGAATAATCCTGCATCGTCATTTGCATTCTTTTCACCCAGTGCTATACCATGGCTGTATAATTGGGAGCTGTGGGATCCACGAGCAAAGGGCACTTATTCAATAGCTGAATACGTACCAATGTGTAGAACACAAGCAGAGGCATTTAAAGTTCCAGCATATTTCTCAAGTTGTTATGCTACACATCTTCTAGGGTTCAATGAACCAGATTTACCCGCAGCTAATGGAGGCGATTATCTTTCACCTTACAATGCATCCGTCCTCTGGAAACAGTACATTCAGCCTGTGAAAACATCGTGTGGAACGGTATTGGGAGCACCGGCTGTTACGAATGGAGTTGAGTCCGGGTGGGGAACTGATTGGCTTCAACAGTTTTTCAGTAACTGTACGTCTCCTTCCTGTTCATTTGATTTTATTCCACTTCATTGGTACGGTACATCACTATTGGACTTTGAAACGTACGTTACACAATTCCATTCACTGTTCGTAACTCATCCCTTATGGATTACTGAATGGCAATTTACTGATGTTACAAGTACAGCAACAGCCAATCTTGAAAAACAAGCCTTACAATGGCTTGATGCACAGAGTTATGTGGTGAGGTATGCAATGTTTGGACCAATGAATTCTACAAATATGGCTGGTATTACAAATGGTGCAATGGTTACGGATGATCTTAGTGGACTTACGAATGTTGGTAAGATTTATGCTGGACTAATGTAGAACTCGAGACAGACGATACTTTAAAGACAACAAGATAGGCTTGAGAGCAACGAAGAAATCTTGTCGATCTCTCGAATTTTTTTGCACCACTAATAATTTTGTTTCAATCTTTTGTTTTCAATTGCTTGTAGATTTTGCTCATATTAATATTGATGAAGATGATACTGCAGCAGGCTTGTCCAAGTTTACATAAATTGACCTTTCACTATAAAAACAGAGTTTAGCCTTACTTTTTTTCAGATCAAGCAACTGAATCACAAAACTGAAGCTAGAAGTTAATATAAAACCGACTATCTGTTTTTAGATTATAAGAAGTAACAGTAAGTTGATTTAATTCATCTCGCACTTTACTTCTAAGATCACATACAGAATTGTAAGTTAATATTGAGCTCAGCACATCATCAGACAGCCGGCAGTATCTACTGTTAGGAGCCAATGTTATCTGATTCTCATCGTAATAGTATGCAGCTTTTTAGAAAAGTTTTCTGAAAACTTTGAAAAGCCGGAGAAAATGTTTTACTGTGCCCTTAAAAAGCGAATCGAAACTACTTTTAGGAATACCAGAAAATGGAGCAAACATTTCTGATCAGAATGAGATATTTTTCAGTTCTGAATGATGTTCTGGTCAAGAGTTATGAGAGTTTTACTGGAACCCTTAAAACCTGCATCAGATACTGGCGCCGCCATATCTCGAAAGCGACCTTCACCTTAACACTATTTCGTAGCTCCAAGATTTCTCGGTAACGAAGCATTGTAGAAAGCTCGGGAAGGTCTTAAATTGAAGCTGAGACAGGTGGCTAGAGGCTGCTTCAGCCGAATTTTTGATATTCGGTCTAGATTTGTGGCTAGAAAAACATGTTATCAAAGTTATTGAGACTTTTTCGAATTTCGGACCTTTGACGCTGACCATTAACTTGAACAAGAAAATATCAAAAATCCGGCTCTATCAGCCTCTAGCCACATGTGTTTTCGTCGATTTAAGACCAGTCCGAGCTCTCCACAACGTTTCGTTATTTAAATTGATATTCTATGTACATTTAGCGGCTGGAATAGCGTTTTTTTCTACAAATTATTTTACCTTATGTATAAATGATGTTAAACTGAAAAGTACTTAGGGCATACCAAAAGTAGTGGCAGTGGTATTTTTATCCCTTATAGAAAGGTTAAAGAAACTTTCTTTTTATATAGTCTGATAGAGAAAAGAATGTTCTATTTTTCTATGCTATTTGATC